GATAGTAAAATTGGTAACATAGAATAGGACAATTCCTTGGGCCTGAAAAAAGTATCTTCTGGAAAAAGTATGAAGTATACAGGTTTCCTAGTCCTTCCTTACAGGACACGATCTTCAGCAGGGCTGGGATGCGGCCTGGGGTTCTGTACTTCTTTGTACTTTCTGGTGTTGTGCAGGTGCTGCCTGAGTCCCATGTGACATGAAAGCGGCCTGTGTCCTGGCTAACTCAGGCCGGAGGGGGACAGGTTCACAGGGGAGGGAGCAGGAAGGCTGAGCCTCCCCAAGCACCAGCAGGACGCACTCACCAGGCTGCTCTGGGAAGACCTTAGCGGAGCAGAGCAGCAGGCCTCAGAGGAGCAGCGCAGTGAGAAAGCCCTGGCCTGGCTGGAGTAGGGACAGTACAGCTCGCCCTGTGTCTGCACTGCTCTGCAAGGCTCTCTGCAAATCGCTACCACTTCGTCTTCATCAGATAAGTTTCCTTATCTGATGCTGGAGGAAGGGGAGTTGAGCTCCTCAGAGACGTGTTGCAGATTTATTTTAGTCCCGTTGCTCTTCGCTCCTGAGAAGGGGTTTGAGTTTGCAGAGGCGTTGGAAACTTGTCTGACAGTAGATAGTAGTTGAAGAGATTGTCCTGGCGTTGAAGGCTGCGAGCCTTGGGGAGGGAGTGAAGGCAGGCAGGGCTGTGCGGACTGCAGTGGGCTCTGGGCCTGGCTGCCCACTCAGACCGAAGGGCGTCACGTTGCCACATGCGATTCTGCTCTCACGGTTTATGTCCGCTGTTCAAGGAACAGCTTATTTGCTTAGGTGGGATTCAGAAGATACAGGTTTCACTCAACGCCTTTGCGGGTCTGAGCAGCCCCAGTTTTCACTGTGGGCCAGCTGCTCGTGTCACAAGGATGCTGTGACACGGAGGACAATGTCTTGATCTCCCACCTGCTGGTGGCTTCCGAGCGCAGAGCCAATGGGGCTGGAGGCGGCAGGGGACAGCAGTGGTTGCTCTCCTATCAAAGCCGGCATGAGGAGGGGGTGGGGTGGGAAATCTTGGACAGTCTCTGCTCTTCCTGGATGCGCATCACTCACAACTCATTTCCTGAAAGTCCTAATGTGATCGAGCGCTGAGAGATGGCTTCCTGCCGAAGTGCCGAGCCAGCCCCTTGACGGAGGAGATGGGAACAAGATGTGGCCAGAGAAGGGACAGCTGGGCCGGGAGGGCCCGCAGTGTCCGTGCTGTCTCTCTCCGTGGGAATAGTAGTGTCTTTGTTCTGGAGAGCAGCGCGAGGGTCTTGCCTCGCACGTGGGCACATATGGCCCCAAATTGGGGTGTGGAGAACATCTAACAACAATGCTTCATTCCCTGTTGATGTAATTGTAGATGTGATGATGAAACACGGCCCTTCTTTTGCTGCTGAAACAAAAGATTTTCCTGGCCAGCATCTGCAGCCCCATTTGGGGAAGGATTTCAATAAAACTAATCCTGAAATTTGTACCTATTCACCTTCCTTTTCCTGTGCCGGGCTTTGCTTGCGCCAATGGCTCTTTGTGGACATTCACACCCAAGAAATAACGGTCTCCTTTTCTTCTGACATCATTTATGACCTTAAGGCCACTATCTTCACCTTCCAATTACAATTGGGTCTGCAGGTTCCTGGCAATGGTTTAGTTTTATACTTCCACCAAAAGCGAGCCGCAGAGTGCTTAAAGAGTGTGGTCAGCAGGATGGGTTTGAAAGTCAGCCTTTGCTGCTGTGGACACGTGGAGCCTGCATCCTCAACTATAAAATGGGAAGGTGTAGAGGGTGAACCGTTAGGACTGCAGATTCTTTGGGTTTTCCAAGTTCAGAATGTTCCAGGATGTGGTAGATGCAGGATGTGGCGGGGGGCTTAGACAGTGAAACGTGTTTAGATATTTCTGAAGTTCGTCTGAAAACTTGTGGTCTAAGGCGGTGGCTCTAAACTTGAGCCTGTATCAGAATTGCCCGGAAAGTTACTAAAAGAGAAGGTTGGATCCCAGCCCTGGATTTTCTAAATGATTCAGTAGGTCTGATGTAGGCTTGACAATTTGTATTTTTAACTATATGTTGATTAACTAAATGTAGTTAGATGGAAGAGGAAGCAGATACTCCCTGTGGAGTCAGGAGACAGACAGAATGAAAGCCAGGGGGTGCCGGGTGCAGAGAGGAAGCTTTCAATTCAGTGTAAGAACTTTGCTGTGTGTGTGTGGTCAGAAATGGAATGAGCAGTCTCAGGAACTCCTTGTCCCCAGAGGTATCCGATGCTGAATGGCCATGCGGCAGTTTCCTACCTTAGATAGAAGTTTTATTCTTTCATGTTCTTACTCATTCATCTATCCCTTCATTCAGAATAAACACGTACTGCCTGCCTGCTGGGAAGAAACCTTGAAAGGCAACTGTGGGCTCTGCCTTTAGGGACCCCACGGTTTAGTAGGTTTGATTATGTGATTTCCAGGGTCCTTTTCACTGCTGGAGAATGCTATGTGGATGGGGGCCGGTGTTAGAATAAGAAGCTGTGGAAAGATTCGTACCTTCTGAGGATGTTCAATTGAGAACTGGCCAGAAGGTGGACATCTCCACAACTCACTTTGGGTTGCTCTCTCTGGAGCACCTTAATGTCCCTGGATAAATGACTTTTTCCCTGCTAAGACTCAGCAGAGGCTCAGGATGTATTTACCACGAGCGTATTTCCTGTGGGAAAATTCACATTTCCTCCCCGGTACCCAGGATGGACCGTTAAACTCTGAACCCTGACCGCTGTCCATTATGCAGTCTGAAAACAGGTCCAGGAAATGGGCAGCAGAAATGAGCTCATTGCTTTTTATCACCTCTCTCAAGTGAGGTACTGGTGAGTTAATGGCTGGGGAGTCCTAGAGAGAGAAAAACAGGTTAACTGCATGAGCTTTTCTGCGTTCTTCCCTCTTAAGATCCACTGAAAACAGTAATGATAATGAACTTTTATTAAGTTCCATCCTGTGCCAAGCACGTTCAACCTGCCACATGTATATTGTGTTACATGATTCTTAAGACAGTCTGATCAACTAGGTGTGTTACTCTAGTTTCTGTGAAAGAGGAAGCTAAGGTAACCAGCTCATGACTCTAGGGACAGAAAAAGTCAGAACTGGAATGAGAACTTCAGTCTTTCGGAACTCCATACCATGCTCTAAACTCCTAATACTCGGAGCTACTCATTCATTACTTTGCTAATTAGCTGAGTAGTTCCTTCATGTAGCAAGTATTAGGCATTGGTACACCAGCGAGCACAGTTCCTTGGCCTCTGCCCTCCTGGAGCTTAGTTTATTTCCTAAGGCTGATGAGTGACTCCTGCCCCATACACGGGGTGGTTGGTTAGGTGCTAAGTCTTAGCAGCTAAGGAGAATGAGAAGGACACATTCCGGCAAGCTGGTGGCTGACCAAAAGTTTCCGTGTGAATGAGACTTTCTCTGCTCTGGCCAGGTTTTGTGCTTTGATGTATTTTTACGTATTCCTCTTGTCAAGGCTGTATGTTAATGCTCGAGCCATTTGCCTTCTGACTGCGCTCTGTGGATGGGGGAGAACTGGAGTCAGGTATCCCAGAACTTGGAGGTGAAAGCAACTCTGGATCCTCAACCATGATCCTCTCTGCCTGGGAAGTGTGGCCTCTTGGAAAACCTGAGTTATCACTTCAGTTTTCTTTGGCTGCCTGTGCTGACCTAGCGTTCATTTTCTACTTTTAAAAAACATTTTAGAAAGAGGTTTTCTGTTTTCAAAATAAATATCTCATAATTACTTTAAAAGTCTATTTCAAAAATAGGTCACTTTGATCAGGATGATCATGTCCTGAACCCCCTGAAGTCATCCCTTTCACAATGGCCTTCGCTTGTCTAGGTCTTTCCAGTGCATGCATGTGTTTGCACATCTGTCAGCTTTCATTACAGTGGACTGTCAAAATACAAGCTTTTCTGGAATTCACTGTTTGTATGTAACATTTAGACACCTTTTCCACACTAGAACATATAGGTCCACATCATTATTTTTTTTCTTCTAGATTAATTTCTAGCAGTGTCTTCCATTAGAAACACCTTTTGCCCACTGACCTGGCCTGTCTGTGGATCAATTCTATTAGATGAAACATCCATTTGGTCCTTTCTCCTTTCTTTTGACTTTGAGAGAAATTGTGGGAACTTTGTTTGGCATTGCCTGGCTTGTGGTGAGGCATTCTTAACTTCAGCTTCAAAAGGTCTGGGAACAAGAGAGAAACCGCTGTCCAAGTTTAGAAAATAAAAAGGAATTTTTTGGAAGAGTAACACACAGAGCTATCAGGTCACAGGAAATCTGAGACCACCAGGTCTTAGGAAGGATGAACAGGCAGCTCCGTGAACCCAGACAGCAGAAGGAGATGTAGTGCTTCCATCTGTTTGGACTTGCAGTTGTGCTCCTTTGGGTTTGCTTAAAGCATAGGCCACCCCTGGACCAAGACCACGCGGTACACTTTGATTGACAGTCCCACCAAAACATGCAACAGGGAGGACGTTATTCTCTGAGGCAGGAGGATGGTTGCAAGTTCGACACCAGCCTGGGCTACAAAGTGAGCTCAAGGCCCGAACTGCCTAGCGAGACCCTGTCTCAAAAAAGAAAGAAAGAAAATAAAGAAAAATTGATGTGCTGGTACTAAAACTCACTGCATGCAGTGTTGGAAAGTTGATCTCGGCTTACGAGAGGCTCCATAGCCCCTGGGATATTTTGTATGTATGTTTGTATGTCTGTTTTCTCAGGAATGAGAAGAAAACTAAGATTATTGCTTTAGTTCCATCAACTCCGTCTGGCCGGAGTGATGCTCCCAATAAGTATAAAATTAATGACAAACTTCCCCATTTTTCTTTTTGTTGCTTCCCTCCTGCTGGCCACCCGGTATCTTCTGCCTGGAGAGGCTTGGGGTGGCCCTTCCTGGTCCAAGTAAATCCCTGGCTATTGTTACCAGGCTAAAGATACAATTTTTTTTTCTTTGCAGGCACCTTTTTGCTCCAGACTATACAGAAACCCACTATACTCCAAGTGGCAAAGCTCAGACCACCACTCTGAAATCTGAGGTAAGTTCGGGTCGTTTTCAGTCGCTGCCCTAGCTGGGTTTCACTCTTAACAACAGTGGATTTGTATCCTGGAGCTGCTCCCGTCGCTGCAGGGATCCTTTTCCTCCTGACTAAAGACCAAAGGAGCAAACAAGGGAGGCAAAATATGTAAAATGTGCATGTGTTGTATCTCAAGTACTTGCTGTCTTTTGCTGAGGAAAATGACTGAAAAAACAAATAGAACGTTTGAGGGTAACTGCCCCGACAGAGCTAGCATAAATCATCCTAGAGCTGTGGTAATTACCAGCATAGTCACAAAACTTTTAAGGAAAAAGTGATTTTCTCGTCATCCGGTCATCTCATCCAATCAGAGGTTTGCTCAGGCCCTTTGAAAAGTCATCTCATCCAATCAGAGGTTTGCTGAGGCCCTTTGAAAAGTCGATGTATAAGGTATACAGAATTGTAATTGTTGTGTCTATAAATTTTATAGTCTGCCTTTTTAATGTGATTTTATGCTATGAAGCGTATCTTATTTTGCTGCTGTCTTAATATTGGACCTTTCCCCTTCAAAGTTGTTTTTTACTAGTACATGTTTGTAGTGAGTAATGAATACATTCATTGCGGGTAATTGGTACCCATACATGGCATATCTTAATTCTCTTTACACCCCCCGAACATCTCTCAGTCCCCTTCCCACTTGTTAAAGATCTATCTCCCTATTTCCTATGGTCTTTTATTTTGCTTTTTGATTTATTTATACTTTGGGTTTCTGGGGAAACCCAAAAGCTGGGGAGTGCGGTGACTTCATGACTCTCTCATAGAAGAGAAACCATACAATATTTAAGATTGTGTGTCTGATTTATTTCACTTAACATTATAGATTCAAAATGCGTCCATTTTCCTACAGATGAGTCAAATTTATCCTTCTTTATAGCTGACTAGTACTCCATTGTGCGTAAATACCACATTTTCTTCATCTATTCAGCTGGTGATGGGATAGCTATTATAAATTGTGCTGCTGTAAACGTGGGTATGGATGTATCACTGTAATATGAGATCTTTAACTCTTTTGGGACGATACCTAGAAGGGGAATAACTGGGTTAAAGTTGTTTTTGAGTAGGGATATTTGCACAAAGATTTGTAAGTTAGAAAACTGTTTTTAAGATGTACACACCTTCTTTTCCAAGGCCTTCCTGGATGGGGGAGGGGAGGAGAGTGCGGCCAGCGTCTGCAGCAGGGAAGGTAGATAGTTGTCTCATCTCCAGGGAGGCTATCCAGCCGCCATCCACACCTCCACTGTCCTCGGTCCAAATTTCTTCCTTCAGATTTCTGTTCTCTGCCTCTAGAGACAGAAGCAGGGGCAGGGACTGGGTAACAGCTAGACTTAGGGAGCCCTTAGCCATTATGACCCCACAAGTACCCTCCTCTGAGACTGGTTCCCTCCCCTGGTGCACCCATAGCTCAAGAATGGGTCTCAGTCTCCAGTGTGCATGAGCTCATGCTTCCTGCCATGGAAGCCCCCGGGGTGGCTCCATCAGACGGAGAAGCTGGGGAATGTGGTGACTTCATGACTGATCTTGATTTGTTTTTTGTGTTCTCAGCTTGTACAGTAGGCAGGGATGTGGCAAGGGCCTTTCTGAGGCAGAGAAGTAGAAGAAAATATCCCTTCTTCCCCAGAATCGGCATCCTTCCTGAAGGTCTTGATTCGAGCACATCCGAGCTGAACCATGACACGGCTTCCTACTTGCTTACATGCCCTGCTGCTGTACTCGTGTGGAGTCCCACCCAGACCAAGGGTCCCAGCCAGTTTTCTCATAGAGGGTCTGAGAGCTCAAGGAGAAACAGGAATGGAATAAACCCATCAGCTGCTCCTGATCCAAGCATTGAGGGCTGTGCTCTGCTCAGCGTGGCCAGGCGTAGCTGGAGTTCTGGGAACCTTATCAGAATTCATTGGCCAGGCCTCCAGGTTGCAGTCTAAATGTAGGTCAGGTCATGGGGGAATGGGTCTGTAAAGTGTTCCAACAGAGAGAGTTATAGGGTTTGGGATCTCAGGCCAGGATTGTAGTCTTGGCTTTCACTAAGCTGCGTCGCCTTAATCAACCCTTCCAACCGCACTATTTTGGATGGTGAGTTTCATCTCTACAAATTAGATACGCTGTTATTCGACTCTCAGGGCTTTGGGAGGGATACCATGAATCACTGATTTTCATGGGAATTTACAAGCGTCCTTTCCAGCCGCACACTTTAGAGCTGAGGAAATTGAGAGATGAAGAAGAGTAAGTTGCCCAAGTTCAGAAGTAGCGAGGCTTAGGCTCGGACTTTCCCCGCTTGTGCTCGAGGAGTAATAAAGCACAGTAATCGCAGCCTGTGCCATTTGCGGATGCTGGTGGCGCCACAGCTGGGAGAGGCAGCGGGTGGAGTTTGGGGACAGGCTGCTGGGGTTCAAATCTCCACTTTGCTATGCCACTCTGTGAATGATTTAAAGTGTTTCTAGTCTTTAATTTTTCCCTTTTAAAACACGGGGATAATAAACTGCTCCGTAAAGTCGTGGTTAGAACGAAAGGGAAAAAATCTGCCCGAGTTCTTGAGTACTAAGAGCTGGAGAGCTGTCAGCGGTAGTGTGACTAAGGGTAGATGGCAGGTGTCCTCATCCCATGTGATGGTGAAGGCAAAAGCCGTCTAAACTGGGGAGCGTGTTACAAGAGCCAGCTGTCGCAGTTTCAGAGCGCATTCAGCCTGTGGGGGTGAAAGCATCATTCCAGAGACGGGAAGAGGCACAGGGCTGCTTTACAGCCGGGCCTTGATTTGCGTTCTCACCCCTTGTGAAAGCACAGGGCTGTTGGAACTGTGGCTGACCTGCGCTCCTGAACTCTTTGCCTCTTCATCATGCCAACGTCTCTGAGCCCCGTGTCCCCAACAGCGACTTAGCCCGCTGCTTCTCCCTGGGAAGGCTCCTGTGCTGTGGAGTTCGTGGTGAGCTGTAAGGACCAGGTTCCAAACTTGATCATTCGGTGATCCACCTGCAGGTCCCACAGCCCAAGGGTAGGTGAAGAAGCCGCGTGCATTGGCAAACCGATGGACGCTGGGCCAGAAGGAGGGTTTGGCTGCCTCCTGTGCTTTAATAGGTGCTGAGGGGGCTTCCTTTGCCCACCTGTAGGGGTAGAGATGTGACTTACAGCCCACGCTGGCTGATGCACAGTGAGGGTCAGTGCCTGTCCCTCCTGACTGTGAGCGTGAATGGGCAGAGGAGCCGCATCTGGCCCTGGCTGATGGATTATCGGGAGATGAAAGGGTGCCTGTGGCTCCGGGAATGAGCCGGAGTTCAGTGTCACCTTGGCCTGTATCCTCTGATCTGGCTGCGTGGCTTAGCTGCTTGGCAGGTAGAGTCAGCACAGCTAAGACCTTGGATGCAGCCAAGTCACATTCTGCCTGCCGTCGAGAAGGAGACTTTAAGGACAACGTGGTCCCCGATGTGGATTGCCTGCCCCTCTGGGCCAGGGGCTGTGCAAGCTGTAAGTTGTACGATTGCTCCCTGATAAACTGTGAGGAGAGGCTGAAGACACTGAAAGCCAGAGAGAGGCTGTGGAACTGTTCATGTGGCTGGTAGGTGCGGTCGCCTGGATTTACATCTGGCCTGGCTACGCCAAATGCTCGGGTTTAATTGTCAGGCTGTACTCGGGCCTAAAGCCAGGAGGGACGCAGAGCCAGAGAATACGGACAAATGGGCTTGTTGTCTCCCAGACCGCATCTCTGCCTGCTGTGGACAAGCAGACAGCTCCATAAATTGTCCCTGCAGCTGGGTCCTTGCGCTGTCACCCAGGTGACACCCCAGCATGCATGACTCGCCCTGCTCAGGCTCATCGTGTTGGGGAGAAAAGAGAAGCCGTCCATGTGTGCGGCCTCCGTTAGGCCTTTCCAGAACTCGGCCCTACCCCAGCGGCTTCACCTTCTCTTCTGGCCAGCTCATCTCCCCAGACCTACCCGAGACAAAGTGAAGAGGAGTGTGTCTGCTGTGACTACCTCCCAGTTTGTTGGGGGAGATTCTTGGTTTGTGCCTTTTCGATTGAGTGCTTTAGCACTCTCAACGGTCCTGTGTTGGCCTCATAAATGCTGTGGTTACCTACTTAAGAAACACTGCTAGTGCCTCAGACTTTCATTTGTAATTATCTTTGGCCTCTTAATTAATCACTGGCTCTTACGAGACCATAAGCCCCTGAGATGCTGGAGCTGTGTTTCTCTTTGCGCGTTGTTCTCTCCCCGGAGCCCATTCCAGGGCCTGGCACACTGTGGTGTTCCACAGCTGTCTGTAGTGATGGAAGAATCAGCCGATTTGGGGGGAGCAGATGGCCACGAGGCACAGTGACTAGAGAACCGCATCAGCGCTTAGGGAGTCGGGTGCCAAGTCAAGAGGACCCAGGTGTGGAGTGATGGGGAGGAGCATCATGAGCGATGGAAGGGATGGTGGCCTCGTCTTCTAGGGCTGCTGTATCAAAGTGCCATCGAGTCGGATGCTAAAACAAGAGAAATGTAGTGTTTCACAGTTGGAGGTTACAATTTCAAAATCACGATGTTGGCAGGGCCTGGTCCCTCCAGGGCCTCGGGGAAGAATCCTCCTTGCCTCTGGTGACCTCTGATAGCTCCTTAGTGTTCCTTGGCTTATAGCTTCATTTCTCCAGTCCTTCCCTCTGTCTTTGCATGACTGCTCTTCCTGTGTACGTCTCTGTGTTCTCCCTTCGTCTTCTAAGGATGCAAGTTGTTGGGTTAGGACCCACTTTAATCCAGTATGACCTCATGTGTGTGGAATTACATGAGCAAAGACTGCATTTCCAAACAAAGTCGTATTCTGAGGTTGTTGGTGGCCACGCATTCAGGGAGACACTATTCGACCCACAGCATGGGGTTACAAAGGAGGCGATGGAGCAGGGCAGCCACTTCCAGAAGCCAGTGTTTCTGGTGGCTGACATCATGTTGTGGAAAGAGCTCTGAACCAGATGCAGAAATCCTGGGTTGTACAAAGCAGACTTTTGACAAATCTCTGCTCCTGTGAGCCTGTTCGTCAGTTCAGTGTGCATAATGACATCTGTGCTGCCCCCAACCCCCAGGATTATCATGGGGAACTGGTGGTTTGGAGAGGTCCTGGAGAGCAGGTTGTAAGGTACTGCAGGGTTAGGGTAGATTATAGTAAGTGATCAGTTATCTGTCACCTTCATGAGATGTTACCGATGGCGTGCTTATCAGTGTCACTTGACCTGACCACTTCCTTTCTCTTTGCTAGGATCACTGTTTCTATCACGGAGCGGTGAGGAAGACAGAAGGGTCCGGCGTCACACTCAGTACCTGCCAAGGCATTAGGTAAGAGACCCTGGTGCTCTTCCCCATGCGTGGGATTTTTAGACAAGCAGGGTCAGCCCCATGCGAGGACACTGAGAAGGACGCCACTGAGAGTGTGTATGTGTGTGTGTGTGTGTGTGTGTGTGTGTGTGTGTAGCACACATGAAAGGAATAAGCAAAATCCTACATTATCTGCAAATTCACTGGGATTGAGTTTCCCGCTCCCGAGGAACTTGATGTTTAAAATGTAGGTCTTATTACATAAATATGATCAGACCAACAAATCAGGAGACAACTACCATCGGAAAGATGGTGAAGTGCACAGAGAAAGGAGGTCCGCTGCCATGAGCAGCCATGTGGGGAGGGCTAAGGTTACCAAGAGGCAGAAGGAGTGAGGGGAATGTGGGAAGGTACCCTCACCGTGCTGTCTGCAGGGAGGAATGTATGAGGCAGGGCGAGCAGTGTTCAGATTAGCCAGTTAGAATAGTTTCAGGGGCTGTCTACCCTTAGCTGTCTGGCGTCTGGCTGGAGGGTGATGTGGCAGGTGGATTTGGTTGGTCTGTTTGAATGGCATAGTACTGGCAAGTTGTTTACTATATCCAGAAGTTGGATAACCATGGTGGAGGACAGTCCTGCCAAGGTCAGCAAGACCCCGGATGTCAAAGCACCAGAAGACAGAACGTAGAAGATGTGGGTGGTTGATACACTTGGGATTGTGCATAAGCATCGTTTCCCACTTCTTAGCTCTTTTATGGTAGAAAGACGCATTGGTAGTGGAACAGGAAAGGGGCAGTTGGTGAAAAGAGACAATGGGAAGAGAAAGGAGAGAGGCAAGGATAATTTTCAAGATAGAAAATCACCTGAACAGTCCCACCCTGATAAAGCTGCAGAAAGAGAGCAACCTTATAAATGTAATACAGCAGATGAGCAGAGTCAAAGAAAAAAATCACATGGTCATCTCAGGAGAGGCAGAAAAAGCATTTGACAAAGCCCAACACCTATTCATGATGAAAACCCTACAGAAAATTGGAATAGATGGTCTTTATCTCAAACCGATAAAAGCCATCTATGACAAACTAGAGCCAACATCATTTTTTAGTTTATGTGCTGCTGAAGTGAGCATGCCAACATAATACTAAATGGACAGAAACTGAAAGATTTCATTCCAAAATCAGGAACAAGACAAGGATGTCCACTATCACCACTCCTATTTAATATAATTCTGGAAGCATTGGCCAGAGCAATTAGATAAGAGAAAGAAATAAAAGGAAAAAATATATGAAAGGAACAAGTTAAATTATCCTTATTTGCCGATGACATGATACTCTTTATAGAAAGCCCCCAAAACTCCACCAAAAGACTTGTAGATTTAATAACTAAATGCAGTAGCATATCTGGATGCAAAGTCAACACTCAGCCAATAGCATTCTTTTTTTTTTTTTGGTTTTTCTCTGGTACCAGGAACCGAACTCACGACCTTGCGCATGCCAGGCAGGCGCTTTTGCCGCTGAGCTAAATCCCCAGCCCCAGTCAATAGCATTCTTGTACACAAACAACAAACGCACTGAGAGAAAAATTAAGGAAACAACACCTTTCACAATGGCATTGAAAAAAATGAAATATTTAGGAATCAATCTAACAAAGGAAGTAAAAGATCTATACATTGAAAATTACAGTACTCTGAAAAAGGAGATTGAAAAGAATATCAGAAAATGGAAGGATACCCTTTACACATGGGTAGGAAAAGCCAACATAGTGAAAATGGCCGTACTCCAAAAACTGTTACACAGATTAGATGCAATCTCAATCAAAATACCATTAGCATACCTAGAGAAAACATTCCTAAAATTCGTTTGGAACCAGAAGAGACCTAGAACAGCAAAATTCTGGGCAACAAGGGCAAGTGGGGGGCATCAAAATCCTTGACTTGAAATTATATTACAGAGCTACTGTGTTAAAAACAGCATGGTACTGGGGGAAAAAAAGCATACCTGAGGATCATTGGAACAGATTAAAAGATACAGAAACAACTCCAAACACACTCAGGCACCTTACCTTTGACAAAGGGGCCAAACATGTTCACTGAAAGAAAGATGGCTTCTTTAATAAATAGTGCTGGAAAAACTAGCTTTTTATGTGCCAAAGACCCATGTCTCTTACCATACAGTAAAGTAAAATTGAAATGGATCAAAGATCTCAATAGTAAAACAGGAACACCAAATCTACAGGAAGAGAGAATAGGTAGAACTCTTGAAGACGCAGGTGTGCGCAAAGATTTCATGAACAAATGGGACCTCTAGTCCTAGTATTTATGAGGAATCTCCACACTAATTTCCACAGTGGTGACACCAGTCTACACTCCTGCCAGTATGCAGAAGGGTTTCTTTTTCCCCAATCACACTAGAAATACTACAAAAATTAACAACTGAGATCTCATCCTATTAAAAAGCTTTTGCACAGCAAAAGAAATCACCAATACAGTGAAAAGACAACCCACTCTGTAGCTCTGTAGTACAATTTCAAGTCAGGGATTGTGATGCCCCCTGCCTTGCCATTGTTGCCCATAATTGCTTTTGCTATTCTAGGTCTCTTCTGGTTCCACATGATATTTTAGGAGTGTTTTCTCTAGGTATGCTAATGGTGTTTTGATTGAGATTTCATTAAATTTTAGCCAGTTGTCCCTCAGACAAAGAACTAATATCTAAAACATAAAGAATTAAAGAAATCAGATGCCCCAAATTTAAAGACCCAATCCAAAAATGAGCATCTGAGTTGAATATACACTTCTCAGATGAAGAAATAAGAATAGCAAATAAATACATGAAGAAAAATGTTCAGCATCATTGATTATTTGAGAGATGCAAATTAAGACAATGCTGAGATTCTTTCTCACTTTGGAGAGAATGACTGCCATCAAGAAATCAACCAATAACAAATGCTGGTGGGGTTGTGGGGAAAAAGAAACCCTTCTCCATACAGGCAGGAGTGTAGACTGGTGTCATCACTGTGGAAATCAGTGTGGAGATTCCTCATAAATACTAGGACTAGAGGTCCCATTTGACCTACCTATTTCCCTTCTGGGTATCTTCCTGGAAGAACTAAAAACATCATGCCACAGTGATACATGGGCACCCGTTGTTATGGTTTGTGTCTGGATACCCACCCCAGACACAAACTGTAACAATGGGTGCCCATGTGTTGGGTGCCCATTTTAGATGGGGCTTTTGGGAGGGAGCTGAATCTAGAGCTTATGATGCATTCATGGTTCAATGCTGGGATTAAGGGAGGGTGATTGCTGGATCAGTCCACTGATTGGATTGGCATTGCCCTAATCCATGCAGTCTGGATAAGATAAAAGGGGCAGAAAGAGGCTTCTCTTTCCCTTTTTGCTCTTGTTGCTTTTGCTGTCTTCCACCACCATGAACTGTTGCCCCTCTGTCATGTAGCACCCTGCCTTGGAGCCAGCCAATTATGGACTGAAACCTCCACAAACTGAGCTACATAAGGTTTTCTCCTTTAGGTGTTGGGTATTTTGTCTCAGCAACAAGAAATTAATTAAGACACCCATGTTTATAGCAGCACAGTTGGTAATAGCTAAATCCTGGAAACAACCCAAATGCCCATCAACTGAGGAATGGATGAAAAAGATATGGAGGGTTTTTTTTTAATGCAATGGAGTACTACTCAGCCATAAAGAAGGTTAAATTTGAGACATTTCTAGGTAAATGGATGTACCGTGAGATCATACAGTTAAGTGAAATAATGTGTAAATTATGTGTAAATATTGCATCACCTCCCTAGTGTGAGAAACTGAAAGAGTAAATAAGGACCAAAATGTATAATAGATATTATGAAATAGGAAGAAACTATTCAAAAGGAAAGGGGAACTAGGGGTTAGGGCAGGGAAGGAAGGTAGGGAAAAGAAAATGATAAAAGAAGGATAAAATGGAAACAAAGCTTTGTAAATGAGAGGAAGAGGGGTTGAAGGGAGCGGGAGGGGACTGGGAAAAAAGAGGAGTCAAGCTATATCATATACAGGCACAAATTCCCTATGATGCATATGAGCATTATGTATATCTAAGTTGCACCAGTAAACTTAACTTTAAAAAAAAGAGCAGCATTTCCTTCTCCAAGCCAGACTATTTGGGTTTGAACCAGTAGCAGTTTACCAGCTGGGATACTTTGGGGTTTCCCAGCTGGGCTACATGGACTCGTTGGCAAAATGTGGACAAAAAGAATGTGTGGGGTTGTGAAGATGAAATGTGTTAACACATCTCACCATCAGCCTGCACTGGTGCATAGCGAGCCCCCAGTACAGTAATCTCGGCCAGCCACTGCGAACCTCCTAGAGCTTTCAGTGATACAAACAGCCTGCTGTGACACGCGTGCCATGGTTTGCCGCCACTGTCTAGCCTCTGGCTTTTCCAAGATGGACACAACAATGTCAGCAGGGAGCTTTCTCTTAGGCTCCACCCAGAACTACTGGATTCTTGTCTGCATTTCCCAAGACCCCCCAGGTGACACATGTGCACATTACTGTGTGCAGCTAAGCTATGTGTTCCTTGAAAATATGAGCTATATCTCAGATACTGGTTTCTTCCCCCAGCCTGCCCTCGTGCCTTGCATACTTAGGATCTACCCTGTGCATCATAGAAGTGATAAATATCGTTTATTTAGATTCCTCATACTCTCCTGTATTCATTTGTTTTTTGAGATGATCATCTAAAAACACCTGGATTCTAATTGCCTATCCCAGTTGCTCGGGTTTTGATCTTCTGTCCTGTACCCATTGTGCTGGTAAACTAGCTCAGTCCCCAGAAGCTCTAATTTGTAGCATCTGCCTGTAGGCTGGTAAAGACACTTCCATCGCGACCAAGCACAAGCTACCAGCATGAGGCTCTTGGAGGCAGAAATAGGAATATAGTACTTGCCCACCATGAGCTTTTGTGACGCGGTAGGCAGTGGCTCCACTGTGGATTCTTCCTGGCTTTATCAGTTCCCTCATTCAGGGACTACAGAAC